ACCATGGACTGCTAGAAGAATGAACAAATCTGTCTTGTAAAACGTACAGCCAAAATGTTCCTTAGAAGTGAGGATGGCGAGACTTTGTCTCACATACTCTGGACATGTTACCCAGGAGGGACTAGTCGCTGGAGAAAGACGTCAGGCTTGGTAAAGTTGAGGATAAGTGAAAAAGAGGAAGACTCTCAACGAGATAGACTGGCACAGTGGTTGCAACAATTGGCTCAAACATAGCAACGATTGTGAGGATGGCACAGGACTGGTCACTGTTTCGTTCCGCTGTACATAGGGTCTCTAAGAGTTGGAACCAACTTAACAGCACCTAACAACAACAAACACATGAAAGATAATAAATATCCTTGTTTCATAATTGCTTACATTAAGAAATTAAGATACTGTCTTAAAACGTAGAAGGGTGTGATGTATGTAACATATAAAATGATTAAAAGTTGTGTCAATAAACAAATCTATAGACAGATAATAGTAAACACTAGAACTTCAAATTAACACTTTTGAAACATAATTTTTAGTGGACTCCATACTTTTGGTCTGGGGAAATTCAAACTCATTTTCAAGAAATGATATACTGTCAAGTAAAAATAATGCTTACTGTTACAATCCCTGAGGAAGACGATTAATCTTTGACACAAATAAAGTTTAATTTATATAATATACATTAATATATATGACTGTTAAACCTCAAGATTCCTAGCACTTCAAAAAATAGCCCTATGAATGCACCACTGATCCATGAAGGTACTCGTAAAAGTGAAAACTAGGGTGGTTTGTCCAATTTTGGAATATATCAGCAGTGTCAGAGTTAAAAGGTATGTCATCTGAGCTAAAGTATGACACATTTTATAGTTAAATACTGAAACAGGCAGCCTCACATAACACTGTTTATAAAACAGTTTGTTCTTATTAAACATTACTGCTATGTTTAATACTGAAGGTTACACTGAATAAGCAGAGACTCAGAAGAACAGAAAATAAACAAAAAGCAACTTATCAAAAGCTAAAACTGCATGCTGTGCAATTCCCATGAGAATTGTTCTATGAAGTCACACTGGGTTGGAATTAAGCCTCTAATTTATTAATGTTGTTTCATATATATACAACAAAATAAGAGGAAAATCTACTTCTTAAATAATTAGCTGGATTTGTACTTACAATCTACCATATTTATAGTATACTCTTATTTCCAAAGTAGTTTTACAAATCTATCCCTAGAATATTTAGTGTAGTGTGTGTGTGTGCGTGTATGTGTGTGTAGAAGGCAAGGGAAATGGAGTGGGGAGAGAAGGCAAGGGAAGAGAAAAGAAATATGGGGGCAGATTCCTTGTTAAAACATAGAACTCTAAACCGTATGTTAGCAGAAAGCCGTTCAAGGATAATATTCAGGTGGGAAGAGAAGGGGAGGAGGCTTCCTGAATTTCCCCTTTCTCATAAGGTTTTGGAAAAGCAAATTGCCAAAGCTTCTCATATTATTTATAGGACAGAGCAGACACCTGGAGCCCAGATCACCTAACTAAAGAATCACACACCCATTTTTCTACATCATGTTCTTGCAAAAGCTAAGGCTGTACTTTTCCCTTTCTTTTCCTTTTTCAAAATAAAAACAAGCATCTAATGCAATTGATGTAGTACTGTAGTACTTGAGTACTTAAAAGTACTACATGTGGCCCATCTCCTTGGGTTTAGAACCACTGCTTGCACCAATTTTTTTTTTTTTTTTTTTTGTATTAACCAATACAAAACAGAATTAGGATAGTATATTTGACACCAAAGAAACTGAATAAATCCTATTATTAAAAATAAGTGATTTAAAGTTATTCACTAGTTTGAATTTTCTTAGCAACTCTTCCCTCATGAGTATAAAAAACTACAAATTAACTATATCCTGAAGTATAAATCACTAAATTTTCTGCGTCTCTAAATTCTTCCAAATAATAAGCACAATACTGAATTTCATAAATGTGACAACAGTACTTTGAAACTGTAAACTGAGTGCCCAAACCAGCATTTCTCAAGTAGCTTCATGGAATATTAATGTTACTGGAGGTACTCCTAAGTGTTCCACAAAGAATAAGAATACTGTGGTCCAATAAATTTCAAAATGTTGGGTTAAAGTTAAACAAGAGTTATTTTTACGAGAGGCTTCTCAGAGATGGTAATTCCTTCATCTAACAAATAATTTAATATTTTGAATACTTCTATCTCCTTTACAGGACTTAATTCTTTTTGTTTCCTCCTCAATATTGTAGACTACTCAAAGACAGTGCCTAGAACAGATATGGACAGAGCTGGGCGCCAATGAATGCTTACTGTGTAGTTGCACAGGATATCCAAAGCGGGTTAAATGTGGATGTGGGGGGAAAAGAGAAACTTGATAGATAAAACCATCTCCTTTCCAGGAAGCTCGGATCATATTACAGCAAGGCTTCCATGAAACATCTTCCTAACAGTACATTTCACATATTAAAAATACTTACATAAATTAACATCACCGGTAATGGGTCATATTCTTCCTGATGCACTATGACATCATGTCACTTCTGGGGTATTCCTGCCAAAAAGGCATAACCTGAGCTGTACCGAGAAGAAACATCAGACAAACCCAAACCAAAGAACATTCTACAAAATAAGTGACCTGCACTCTTATGTTAAAGTCATAAAAGATAAAAAAGACTGAAGAACTGTTTCAAATTAAAGGAGGCTAGAGAAACTTGACAACTAAATGTAACAATTCTGGATTAGATCATGGACCATCAAAATTTTTTTCTCTTTTGCTAGAAAGAACATTAATGGAACAACTGGCAAAATGGAATATCTGTAGATTAAATAACAGCACTGTATCCATGTTAATTTCCTGATTTTGATAATCATATGGCAGTTATATAAGAGAACTGCATTCTTTTTAGGAAATTCACCATGAAGTATTTAGTGGACATGTGACATTATGTCTGCAACTTAATTTCAAAGGGTTGAGGAAAAAAATAATATACAGAGAAGAAGAGAGGTAAAATGATAGTGCAAATATTGGAAAAAAATAAAAATTGAGTAAAAGGTATAAGAATCTTTTGTATTGTTTATGTAACATTTCCATTAGTCTCAAATTGTTTCAAAATAAAATATTTAAACACAAAATGGGGAAAAAATGGAAAATAATTACATAAGAAGATGCTCAGTCATATTCTGGCATCTTCTGGCAACTGTTGTTGTTAGGTGCTGTCAAGTCGATTGCAACTGATAGTGACCATATGTGACAGAGTAGAACTGTCCCACAGGGTTTTCTAAGTTGTAATCTTTATGGGATCAGGGTACCGGATCTTTTCTCCCGTGGAGTCACTGGGTGGGTTCAAACAGTCAACCTTTCAGTTAGCAGCTGAGCCCTTAAGTGTTGTGCCACCAGGGCCCCTTTACTGACAATTAGGGAAATGCAAATTAAAACCACAATGAGATCTCTCTAAACCCCTATCAGAATGACTAAAAAGGAAAAGAAAAAAAAAAAAAAAAAAGCACTGGCAATACCAAGTATTGGCAAAGATGTGGGGAACTGAAACTTTTAAACATTACTAGAGGGAACACAAAATGTTAGAGCCACTTCATAAGAAACTTCTACATTATTTTCCAAAGTTAAACATACACTTATCATATGACCCAGCCATCCTACTGCTAAGTATTAACCCAGGAGAAATGAAAACTTATATTTACATAAAACCTGTATGCAGATGTTTATAGCAGATTTATTCATAATCGCCAAATACTGGAAATAACACAAATGTCCTTCGACTGGAGAACCGATACATTAGCTGCAGCATATACGCATGATGGGATACTATTCAGTGATAATATGAGTTATTAATACACGCAACAACATGAGTGAATCTAAAAAGCATTATGTGAAATGCAAGAAGCCAGTCTCAAAGGTTACATATTGTATTATTCCATACACACACATGCACACACACACCATTCTGGAAAGAGCAAATTACAGAAATGAGAACAGAGCAGTGACTGTCAGAGGCAGAGTTGGAGAGATGGCTGATAGCAAATGGGTGGAACAATGGAATTTTGAAGAGTGACGAAACTGGTCTAGATCTTGACTGTCATGGTCATCCCATGATTTTATGCACATGTCAAAACTCACAGAACCATATACCAAAAAGGTGAATTTTAATGTACGTAAATTTTTTAAATATGCATTTTAAACTCACGAAGGAAAAAGCACTTTCATAGACATTTCGTTCTATTCTCAACCCCCTAACAAAGAGTAGGTAGATACTATCACTCTCATTTTATAAGTGAGGAAAGTGAAGCATGCAGGAAATAAATAAGGATACAAGGTACACGTGACAAGACCAAAACCGTAGTTCAGAGACACTGATTCTACACCAAACGTTTTATTCTCTTTACTTTCCCATGTTCCCCTGAACGTTTATGTGCCACAAGGACCCTGAAGACAAATGGAATGCAAGGGACTGAGGGAGGTAAACAGGAAAAAAAAAAAAAAGACAGTGGTATGTGTGCCATTTAGAATTTAGTTGTTGTCCTGAAAGAATGAAAAAATAGTCCATAACTGAGGAAGTTCAAATAGTGATCCATACAGGTAGCAAATTAACTGACATGAAAGGATTAGCTGGTGATTTCTTCCATAAAAGCCTTCTAATTTCTTAATGCTAAGACAAGAAAAAGCAAACATAAAATATACACAGGTAATCTTGTAAGAATTGATCCAATTTAAGCACTACCTGGTCTTAGAACTACATTGAGTGGAAGAATGATGGTGGCTACAATTCAACAGATGTTCTACCTTTAAATAAACAACTTAAAGCTATTCCTTACTACCTTAAGTGGAAAAAAAGGACCTCAAAATACATTTTCAGTTTCAGAATCAGAGAGAAACATTCCAAAACAACATAAGTGCAGAGGAAAATTAAGCTGTTCCTTTAGCAGAAAAACTTAAAAATTATATCTGTGCTAAAAATAGCATACCTCACCTAAAAACAGTGGCGTGGTTTCCTCTAGAGTAGTTGCATTAGGATCTGCCCCAGCTTCTAGAAGAACCTGTATGATCTTCCAGTGTCCTTGACTTGCAGCGAGATGTAACGCACAAAAGCCTTCAAAAGTCTTTGTCTTAATGTAGTTTTCAGATGAATCTATGGAAGAATTAAAAAAAAAAAATCAACTAGAAGATTATCACTTCTACTTCTTGGGCTTAAAATGCAAAGATTCCAAGAGGAATTTTCTTAACTTATAAATAATTTATAAACGTGACGCCTCCAAATAAGTTTAAAACTCTCTGGAAAATCAAGGAAAAGTTCTACAGGGGTCATGGTGTGAATAGCTATTTGGTATTTTTAACACAATTCTGCCCACTTACTTTCTCCTCTAATTTTTGAGCTGTTTTTTGGTTGGTTGGTTCCAAAAATAAAACCAAACCCACTGCTGTCGAGTCGATTCCAACTCATAGCGACCCTATAGGACAGAGTAAAACTGCCCCACAGAGTTTCCAAGGGGTGGCTGGTGGGTTCAAACTGTTGACCTTTTAGTTCGCAGCCAAGCTCTTAACCACTGTGCCACCAGGGCTCCTGGGTGGTTGGTTGGTTTATATTTGGTAAAGTGACTCAAATTGATAGGGCGTAGCAAGTAAGAATAACAAAGAATTTTAAAAATAAACAAGGTAAGCGTTGAGGGGAGCCTAGACTTACTACACATAAAACCATGTCTTAGAGTTTGACGTGTAGTAAGTTAAAAGTTTAAAGTTAAGTAACTTTGAAAAATGATGTTATGACTAGAAACTATAAGACTAAAGAGAAAAGGAACAGCACATAAACACTGTATTCTAGTTGGTAAAGTTGTTTCTCACAGGAGGACTGATTAACGATTCTGAAACCACTATACACGTACACTAGGATTGAACAAATAAGAAAATGGATAGCAGAAGGTGGGAGCCAGGTTTCTCGCTGCTGGAGAGGGAGATCACAGATAAGCAAAGGAAGTGGGTTAAAATGAACCACATGGTACTAGATTAGAGTCCAGACCTCATAGAAACAGATGTGCAGATACAGGAATAATTACAGGTGCCATAATCAGTGACTCCAACAAGGGGTTCAAACACAGCAACGACTGTAAGGATGGCACAGGACCAGGCAACGTTTCGTTCTGTTACACAGAAGGTCGCTATGAGTTGGAGCCAACTCCACAGCACATAACAGAAAACAACGTGTATCTACACGAGCCCCTGGGTGGTGCAAATGGTGAACTGCTTGGCTGCTAACTGAAATGTTGGAGGTCACAGTCCATCCATAAGTGTCTCAGAAAAAAACTGTACGGAGCACAGTTCTACTTTAACACACATGCGCTTGTCAGGGCTCAGAAGCAATCAACAGCAACTGGTGGTATGTATATATACATGGATGAGTATCAATACATGGATTAGCACACATGCATATACTTCCCAGCTCTGTCTGCTCAGAGGGCTTAGAAGCATTGACACTCCAGTAGCAATGAGCATACCTAGTGTGTTTTGAATATCATTCTCCAATTAAAAAGACAAACAAACCAGGGCTCCTTGGAAAATGGCTGATCCTAGAGTTGGGCAGGAAATATACAAAATGAACCTGAAGCATCTTCTAGGGCCAGAAATTAAAAAATTTTCAAAGAACAAAACAATGGGGGCATGTCAAAGGGACACTAGAAGCAACCTGAAAGGGTATCCAATGGCTAAAGTTAGAATAATTTGAGCAACAAAATAAATAATGTAGTACTGGATTATAACTCAAAGTATAAAATAAATATCCATGAGTCAATGCAGATATAAATGATTGAATAAATAAAAGGAAGAGAAAAAACAAATCTCCCACAGAGAACAAAAACCCAGCTGCCATGGAGTCGATTTTGACTCATGGTGACCTCACGTGTGTCAGAGTAGAACTGTGCTCCATAGGGTTTCCAATGGCTGATTTTTTTGAAGTAGATCTCCAGGCCTTTCTTCCGAGGTGCATCTGGGTGGCTCAAACCATCAACCGTTTGGTTAGCAGCAGAGCATGTTAAACGTTTACACCCCCCAGGGACTCCTCCACACAGAAAAATTCCAAGTAATCTATGTAGATACTCCCCTGCTCTTGAGCGCAGAAAATAAAACAGAAAAAGGACACTAGGGAAAATCCAGTGAAATACGAATAAGGTGTGGAGTCTAACAAACAGCAACGTACCAATGTGGGTTCCTTAGTTGTGACAAATGTACCATAAAACCCAGTGCCGCCCAGTTGATTCCAACTCACAGCGACCCTATAGGACAAGGCAGAACTGCCCCATAGGGTTTCCAAATAGCGGCTAGTGGATTCAAACTGCCGACCTTTTCAGTCAGCAGCCAGGGCCCGAAATGTACCATAGCGATATAATACGTTGCCAATAGGGGTAACTGGATAAGGGGTAAAACAAGAACTCTCGGTAGTAATTTTGCAACTTTAAATAATATAAAACCTACATAGACTCAATGGCTAAGCATTATGATTAAGTACAGTTTTATAACTAGCAATGAAAAAATCTGGAAATTGATACAGCATTAACTGTAGTCCATTTCTTAAAACAAAGTTATAATTCATTATCATTTAATAAGTACCTCTACTCTACAATCTTTAAGTAATTCTAAGAGGTCTTTAAGCTATGTAAATTAACCACTTAATTAACTGAATGAGATTTTCACATTATTTTCCCAAAGTGCCATCTGTTCAATCAGTAATGCTAATATCCAATCTTTAATTTTCAAGGGGTTTAATGCCACTAGGATCATGGACTTAGATAATATGCAATGAACACCATGATTCTAAGTAGGATTTAAAATGAAATGAATAATTTTTAAAACCTCAGATAATAAATTATAGGAATATTCTCTCAAGTTTGTAGGAAGTGGTAAGATTTAAAAGTTTTGTAGGGACTACTGAGCAAATGTGAAAATCCTCATTTGCAAAATGTCTCAAAAATAGAGTTCTGTCACTAAATTCTGAACAGTGTTAAAAAAAATAAAGTAGAGAAAGATAGTACAAAGAAATATGGCAAAAAGTTTACATGTTTTAAGTGTGGGATTATAGGTAATTGTTCTTCTAGAAAGGAGCCCTGGTGGCGCAATGGATAAGTGTTCAGCTGCTAACCAAAATATCGGTGGTTCAAATCCACCAGCTGTTCCAGGAAAGAAAGATGTGGCAGTCTGTTTCTGTAAAGATTACAGCCTTGGAAACCCTATGGGGCAGTTCTACTTGTCCTACAGGATCACTATGAGTTGGAATCAACTTGATGACAACAGGTTTGGTTTATTGGGTTTATGTACATACAGACACAGATACACACACACACACACACACACACGAGGATTTGCTGATCGATTGGATGAGGGATGTAAGAAAAAAGGTAATTAAGGACAGTCCCACAGTTTTTGGCCTGAGCTGGAACTTCTTACAGATGAAGAAACTGAACCGCTGACAGTCGAAAGCCCTGTCTAAGGCACAACAACATAAAGTGGTGGAGTCACCAGAATCCAGGTGGGTCTGACCACAGCGTTTAATCACTACGATCCTCCACCTCATTTATCTAAGGATCGTCAGCATCTATGACCACGCCTACTGTTACAGCATAATACTTCTTATTTAACAGGAAGTAACTAAAAAGTACTATAAGCTAAATCATATTTTTGTGAAATAAAAGTACTAGTTCGCCATATGCTCTAATTACAAGATTTTAAGAGACCTTTAGTCAGGAAATGGTTTAATATCGAATGGCTCGGTTAACTGCCACTCAAGATCATTATTATCCTCCAAGACGCCAAGCTTCCTGAAATCTCAGCACTCAGTCTACCAAACCTCCAATACAAGAAAGAAAACAAGCTGATTAGTTATTTGTGCTAATACTCTAACCAGAAAGCTAAAAAGAAAATGTTAAATTTCCAAGTGATCCACCCCACACTTGAATGCACTTCTCCAACTTGAATGAGAAGATCACGCATGGCTCTTAAGATAGATTCTGGCTCTAAATTGAACAGACAGTAAAGAAAAATCCTTCTAAACATTTCAGACTATTCTGTTATTTCTGCACAGGTCTGACCACCTTCATACGTTAGTGCAATAATAAAAGGTAGCTTTTATGTATTTCTGGCAGTTTACTAATATTAGATGAAGATCAAGGAGGTAGAAATTCTATAATAAAAGACAAATTCATACATACCAGTTGAGCCACAAGAGACAAGAAAATTATGAATTATACAAAACATAAATAGAGCAAGTATAAAGAAAGAAAGAAACTTCAATCTTGTTTTGCAAACCTTTAAGATTCACCCATAAAACCAAGTTAACTGGTACCGGAACAAGAATGCTATTCTCATTGTTAAGCAGAAGAGACCTCACTTCACTCTTCAAGATAAGAAAACATTTGTACTTCATCATCATTTTAAAATACCTCCTCTTACGTATCTTTATGCTAGCCAGACCTTGTACAAAGTCATCAGCTACCATTCATCACTGGTCAATGTTCTTGAACTTAAATCATCCAAAAAAGTTTAAAGTATGCTCTTTTAACCTTTCAGCCATCTTACGAAACTGGTATTATCAACCCAATTTTACAGAAAAGAAACTCGCCAAAGGTTACTCACCAGTAAGGAGAGGAACTAAGATTTGAACCCAAACCTCATCTGACCCCAAAGCCTCTCTCTCTCTCTGAATCTGTTGCCCAAAACAATAAATATTTTTTCTCATTATTTTATTAACTTCAGAAAGATATAGAAAGAATATGTACTACAAATATAAAGTCCAAGTAATTGGTAAGAGTCTCAAATTTTAAAAACACTGAAAAGTACAAGGAAAAAATGACTAATTTAAACAAAACACACCCTCAGTTTCAGCAGCACTGCTCCTTTTGTTTGGGAAATGAAGAAAGAGTAAACATGACCAGTGACTATGAAACATTTAAATTACTTTTGCCACATCACCCAGCTCAGGCAATAAAAACAGGCCAGGCAGAAGCACTTCCATATAAAGGACACCACTTATAGACAGATGCCCAGCTGCATATCCCACTGATGTAATCCAAGGCAGGCAATCTCACCATCCTGAATCAACAAGCACATACAACTGTTTTATGATTATAGAAAAGGAAGAAAACACTATTGTTAGTAAGTCATGTTACCTTTTTTTTTTTTAATGTTTTACTAACCCAGTCTTTAGGCCCAGCCTCCCACCTCTCGAATTTCCTTTACCTGCATGAATTAACATCCGCAAGCACTCTGCGGAGTTGTGATAAGCTGCTTCGTGGATGGGCATCCATCCCCTGTTATCAGCGACATCAACACTACGTCCCTTTTTGAGCAGTTTTCTTAAGACTTTGACGTTTCCTTCCCTGGCGGCAAGTCCAACCGCAGAGCATGTGTTAGAGTAAGCCTCTCTAAAATCCATTCTTCCGATGGGTCTAGAAGAAAAGACCACAGTCAGTAAAACAGCACTGCACTCCTGGAGATCAGCAGTGACAGTGGGCCTCTCCACCACCTCTCCCGTGACTGCCAGGAACAGCCCACAATGCAGAAGGCGGCCCGCCATGCTGCAGCTTCTGCGACAGCCTCAGCCAGGAAGTCTCCTTCTCTCTCTCTCTCTCTGGAGAACTAGGATGCCTTGGGATTTTCAAATTAAAGATATCAAGGGAGTTTTAAGAGTCTTTCTTTCCTCCTCTGGGAACGCTGAGGGGCTCCTTCCTGCAGGCTTCTTCTGTTCACTCCCCATTACAATGCACTTGCTGGAGCTCTGCTCACAAGAGAGCCAAACTCCTTTAATTAAGCCATATGCACGCTCCCTAAGGCAGACATTGAGCCCCTGGTGGTGCAGTGGTTAAGTGATATAGCTGCTAACCAAAAGGTCACCAGTTCAAATCCACCAGCCGCTTCTTGGAAACCCTATGGGGCAGTTTTACTCTGTCCTATGGGTCACTCTGGGTCAGAATTGACTCGACAGCACTGGGTTTGGTTTT